GTTTTTAAAAAGTAACTAAGTAATTAATTACTTTTGAAAATAAGTAATCAGTAAAGTAACGGGATTACTTTTTTGGGGAAGTAATCAGTAATTAGTTACTGATTACTTTTTTCAAGTAACTTGACCAACACTGGAAGTCAGTGTACAGCGGGGGTTATGGCAGCTGTGTACTGGGGCCTGTGCTTTGTCGGTGGTAATAACATCTCGATTGCTTGCGAGGTGAGCGGGTCTATCCCACGCTTTGCCGCGAGACTATCTCCGAAATCATCAAAGCACTTTTGCAAAGAGGCTGTATCTTGACAAACTGACCAGATATCTGAAGATTAAACCATTACATTCTTGGCTAAAAAATATTAAAACGGTATTTGGTGACGCACAAACAGGGTTCAGTTCTGTTAGTTTCCACATGCCGGTTGTTAATAACAATGGCTACCAGGCCAAAGCAATGGTTTTTGACTCGATCAGCGTTAACCCGACCCATGCGTTTGATGGGTGAGGTTGACAGATAAAATAAGTTCATGGTGAGACCTGAAGGAGTCAACTGTGCCAAAATGAATTAATTAAATACACCATTAAATAATAATTTAAATGTGGCAATAATTAATTTAAATGTGAAATAAATAAATAAATAATTAAATGTGTCAGAAATATTTACTTAATTAATTATTCCCAATTTTAACTAATTATTTCCAATTTTAATTAATTATTGCCACATTTAATTAATTATTTAATGGTGTATTTAATTCATTAATTATGGTAGTCCTGGCTTTCCATAGAATGGCAACTAACTTTTTTATAACTTAATGCATTTATGACAGTGTGTCTTAGTATTGCTCATGAGAGCATTAGTGCTCAACCCAGACAGCAATTTAGGTCATTTTTATCCTTCATAAAAGCTAACATGTGGAACCGTGGGGTAATTTTTTTTGATCAATATTTGACTCAGAACTACTCTTCTTTTTTGGCGGTTATTTTTCCATTTATTAAATATTGCCAATCATAATATTGTGTCAAAGTAACATCTCCTCGGGTTTGGATTATTGTAATGCCCCGTTTTCTTGTTTTACTAAAGCAGCTATTAATTGCCTCCAGTGTGTCCAAAACACTGCTGTAAAACTTCTAAATCACTTATAAATCTTCACATTCACATTTAAAGCTTTTGCGCTGCTTTCCTGTCAGGTTTAGATTTCAGTTTAACCCATTAAAACCATCAGTCCTAGGTCCTACTCCCACAACTCTTGAACGAATGTGTTAATAAAAAAATTCCAACAATTCTTGAATACAGCAAGTCTGTGCTTTTTCATTGATATTAGGGTCATTAGAGTAATCCCAAGCAGGATGCCACATTCAAATCTCAGCAAATAACACAGAAAACAACACAATGAAAAGAACCCAAATGCCTAATGTCTGTTTCTATAGCGCTCCATCACACTCACTGACTCTCTCTTCTCTCAAGAGGGCGTTGTTATCCTACCCTGGAACACCA